AGAGAGGCTATATACCACTGTTAGAATATTCTCCTACATTCAGCCCCATGGCTTAAGCATGTCTCCAGAATCAGAGTCAGATATAACTATCTAGCAATGTTTCTGAACCAGCTGAACTGGGAATCATCACGCCCACTCTGCCTGGCCCATTGCCAACCAGCAGACTTACCTTTACCGCACAGCTCAAGCAGAATCAGAAAGTATCCTGTTAAGACAAGCCTATCACAAGCAAGGGGAGAATTCTGGGTGGAATAATCGTGTTCTTCTTGACTGCTGAGAGCAAAGTGATCTCAAAACACGTGCTGCCAGAGGCAAAGGGCAAGATGGTGTCTAATTCCCATTTCTTGTGCCCAAGCCCTCCTGAGTGGCAAAGCAGCAAAGCAGCATCTTAGCTGAGACTGGGCAATCTGCCTTATATTAACCATTAGCTGTTCAGTTGGCCAAATATGTTTGCTTTTGCTAACAACATTCAGACACTTTCAGAATGTAATGACACCCACTTCTGGAGATGGGTTTGTTGCAGAGTTTTGAATTTTGATTAAATTCCTGGAGCTGCACAGCAGAAGTGTAAAGATTCACAAAGCAAAGAAGTTCCACAGAGTAGTCCACCCCTTTTCTCATTAACTGGCACTTACAGTCCCAATAATGGACTCTGCAATTTAGTAAAAGAAAGAATACAATGTTTAATTACTTACAATTTAACAAATCAAACAGCAAACTGGCAAACATGACTGCTTTCAGTTACAGGCTTCAACAGACTTAAGGTGGGGGGAAGCACTGCGCAGAGAAGTGGGGCTCGCTTTGAAATCAAAGGTAGGGAAAGAACTATTTCTTAGTGCTGGAGAGATTAACAGTCATCTCAGTCCAAAAAGTTACCTTCCAGCCAAGCCTACAAAAAGCAGTATGTGTGGTTGCAAAAACACAGAGTTATCCATCCATGGCCATAAAAGTTAATTTGGAGTATTCATTATTAAGCATGTTCTATAACATCGGCAGTCTGGCTGGATAGTAAAGTGGTTTTGGTATCTCACTGTAGATTCAGAGGTTGGGAGTTCAATTCTCCGCTGTGCCTCCTGCAGTCATAGGCAAGCCACACAGTCCTAGAGCACCCTCAGAAGAAGGGAATGGGAAACCACTTCTATGTATTCTCTATCTGGAAAACCCTGGAAAGGGTAGCCATATATCAGAATTGACTTGACAGCACACAGTTTATAATATCTTCAAGGGAACATCCTCCTGGATCACTGTATGCTACTGTTTTTGTTTGTTTGTTTGTTGTTTGTTTCTTGTTTGTTCAGGGGTCGATTATTTCCCCAATGCTGTTTAATATCTATATGAGGCTGCTGGGCGGGGTCATCAGGTGTGTGGGGCATTGTGTCATCAGTACGCTGATGACACCCAGCTCTACATCTCCTTTCCACCTACTGCAGGAGATGCCATCCTGTCCCTTCAGCGCTGCCTGGAGGCCGTACTGCAATGGATGCAGGAAAATGGGCTGAGGCTGAACCCGGACAAGACGGAGGTTCTGAGGGTGGGTGCCCCCACTGGCGGTGGCTTGGGTGACTCTCATTTGGGGGGGGGTCACCCTTGCTGCAAAGAGTGGAGTCGGCAGCCTGGAGATCCATCTGGATGTGGCGCTCACCATGGAAACTCAGGTGGCGTTGGTGGTCCGTTCCGCCTTTTTCCATCTTTGGCGGATAGCCCAGCTGCGACCCTATCTGGACACGGGGGCGCTCACTACCTTGGTTCATGGGCTCGTAATCTCCAGATTAGACCACTGCAATGTGCTCTACGTGGGGCTACCTTTGAGGTTGACGCGGAAACTCCAAGTGGTGCAGAATACGGCGCGAGAAAAATCCATCATATTTCTCCTATTCTGGCCGTGCTGCACTGGCTGCCCATTCGTTTCCATGCTGATTTCAAAGTTTTGATGCTTATGTGCAAAGCCCTAGACGGTTTAGGACCTCAATACTTGGTGGAACGTCTACTCCCACCAAGTTCTACCCATGTCACTCGTGCGAGTGAGGATGTGAGGCTGAGGAGCCTGACTCCGAGGGAGGCCTGGAAGGAAAAACAAGGAACCGGGCCTTCTCGGTAGTGGCTCCTCGCCTCTGGAACAACCTACCTCTGGAGATTTGCGTGCCCCCCTCGCTGGGTATCTTTAAAAATCAACTAAAAACGTGGATGTTTCGGCAGGTCTTCCCTCCAATTAATCCCTGATTTTTCCTTTCTTCTCTCCTCTTATTGTTCACCTTCCATCTTGTTGAATTTGTTTATTATGTAATAATCTTCTTTGTATTTATATTTTTACTTTATTTTGTAAGCTGCCTAGAGTGGTCGTAAATGACCAGATAGGTGGGATATTAAATAAATAAATAAATAAATAAATAAATTGTTTGTTTGTTTGTTTGTTTGCAATGAAAAAATCCTTTGGCAGAAATGAGAAAAGTTACCTTTTTGACTACAACTCTCAAAACATCACGTGCCAGTTGTAGGGCTTCTTGTGCAGTCAGATGGCCTCCAATCCCATACATCTTATAGCTTCTTCATTACGTCAGTTATCATGTCCATCCATCCATTCATTTAGTGGATTTAAAAAGCACCTTTCAGAACAGCTTATCCTTGTACGAGAGGTCCGTAAAGAGAACACAAAAATCTCAGACAAAATAACATTGCACCGATAAAATAATACTGAAACAGTGGCAACAGAAAATGGCTGAAATGCAGTACAGTAATGTGAAGTTGCACCACACAAACTTGATGATGCATCGGCCATGGACGCATTTTGGAAATTAAACATTTCTGATTCACCCCCTCCCTACGGTTCGTGGGATCCCAGAAATTCCTTTTAATCCCGAGGAAGAATTTGGGAACAGTGGAACAGGGGCAAGAAGTCTTAAATGTCTGAAAATTGCTGCTGGGAGTCCCACTTTTGCTGCAGTTTCTTGGAACCTAGGTCTTCATGTTACATTGAAAACATTCTTGAATTAAACTGAGTGACCTCAGGAACAGGAGTCCTCTCATTCCTATCCATGTAAATATCACTGGGTCAGATTTGGAAGCAGTGAGTAAGATGCTGAAATTCATATGCTTGAATGGCATCTTGGAGGTCTTCCTGTTGCCATTTAGTAGAGTGTTAAGGCCCTCCTGCTCTGAGTGAGGAATATTGTGTTTGCTCAGGGAAGGTGGTGTAATGGTGATCTATCTTTATGTTCTGACATCTTGAATAGAGACATTAACGTAATGTTTATAACGCTTATCCCAGCTTTAACATTGTCACTATCATGGAGAAAATTCCACTTCTTCTGGCATAGCATACCCCTTTTTATGGATAATGCAGAAAAACTGTACGTATAAGCAAGTCCGAAAATTGATGGTCTATAACTGTAACAATTGATGCCAGTCCTCTCAGAGCTGCAGTCTGTAGCCTCTTTACAGCATGATTTGGAATTTTTACACCTTTCTCTTAGAATCAAGGGCTGCCAATTATTCTGTGATTGCTCTCCCACACATACATTCCAATTTCCTGCTTTGAAACTACAGGATTTTTGGAGTGGGGATGGGGAGAACAATACAAAGACATAGCAACCACATTAGATTAGTATAGCCACAACAAGGTACACAAAATTTGCGTAAAGACCAGTGCAATTCCGGCCATAGTTCCACATCATATTTTCACATTTCTCTATCTATAGCACTACATCATTCTGTGAATTTTATTCTGCTTTAACTAGGATTTTGTGATGCTGCCATATCTTGTGTACAGATACTCTAGTGCTTTGGGTGTATCCCATATACTGTAGGAATATCTTCCCATTTAAACCATTCAGTTATTTTGTGTTTGGGTGAGAAGTGGTAAAAAGGAGTCCACTTCCAGGATTTTCCTTGGTGTGGTTGTCACTTTGTGAATGATAGTCAGCACAAGAGGGTATCCTGTGGACTATCTTGACTGCTGCCATTGGTGTTGCCAGCATTCAGGCTAGCCTTTGCTACGTGAAGCATGGCATTCTTTTTCCTACTGGCAACACAGGCAGGGTATTGTGCAGCAATATCAGGCAGGCCATTTCCTAGTATTCTGGATACAGAGCACAATATCTCATTCATAAGCTGGAGGATTTTTGTTTTATTTTATTTTTGAATAATTGTATAAACATAAGTTTGGAAGCTGACCCACTGTGTTCTAGTAGTCGAAATGCCAAAATTCCAGTAATAAATTAGGAACCAGTTACTGCAGCCCACTGGGCCAAACCTGGCCCCTAGTAAAGTAAAGCACTCAACTGGCCAAGAGATTTGTACCCATTGCAAAATCCTGTTTGAAGCGGATAGATTGCACAACAAGGGCTTAGACAGGAGGTATCTGAAATAAATCCATCAAACTGAAAGAGCATTTGGTTACATGTACACTTGATAGTTTGACCAAACTCCGGGAGGCAGGTGAAGACAGGAGGGCCTGGAGTGCTCTGGTCCATGGGGTCATGAAGAGTCGGACGCAACTTAATGACTAAACTACAACAATACTTGATAGGGGGCAGCAGTATTCCAGGGAGGACCAGTTGCCCCTTCCAAATGTTTTCGCTTAAAAATCTCATCAGCCCTCCTCAGTTTATGGATCAATAAGGAGCTGTGGGGACTATAATCCCAAACATCCCGAAGGCCAACTATTTCAATGATCCTTAGTGTTTCTGTTTTATCAATGAAATGATGGAGAGCAAGGGTTTACAGGTGACATGCCTTAACATCAATTGTGAACAAATTCTCCTTTCTTGAGCTGCAAAAGGATTTTACTTTTATACTGTCAAACTATGGACTGAAGAAAGCCTCTCAAATGGAAAACATTTTTCCACCAGTCTGCAGCTGAGAGATCAGGAAAGGTAATCCCCGATTTTGCTGTTGCGAAATCCAGTGGCTCTCATTGGCCCAGCCCAGTTTATGTTAATCGTGTTGGCTTTACATATCTCCTCCCCAGGGCCTGCCTCTTTTAAATACATTAGTCTGAGCTGTCAGAAACAGAAAGCACAGACTTTCTGTAGTTGCGCTTTCCTGAGCTGGAACACCCTGTTATTCTTTGGTTTCTGAAAGTGTTTCATTTTAAAATTCAGAAGTTGCTGGGGATCTGTACTGTCGCAGAATAAGGAGTGGACAAAGTTGCATTTGAACATCTGTCTGGAAGAATGATTTTCCACCACAGTACTTTTAAGATCTGTAGGAAAATACCTTCCTGTGCTTTTTAAAGAGAGATGTGGACTTTAACAATGAGTAAACTGCTGGTAACAGAGTAAGTAGGTACTCAGTGAGGGATAGTTCATGTGGAGAGAGCAGTACTTATCCCACGAGTCATCTCTGAACATCAAACGAAGGGCAAATCTTTCATCAAAAGAAGAGCTTCCAGTAACTCATGGACAATGAATCAAACAGTCAACATCAGAAGAACTGCGCCCACGGTATACAATTTTGGCAGCAGCAAACATGCCGAAAACTATGAAAGTAAGTGCTTTATTTTAAAGACTGATTTCATGAACTGAAATTAGAAACCTTAACACAGATGATTTGGGGACAATGTATATCTCGAATATGTCTCACAACAAAGCCATGTTTGTAATGTCAGAAAGGGTCTTCCTGGTCAATTTTAGTTTTAAAAACAAAATAATACCTCAGTGGGACTTTTTTAAAAACTTGGTTATGAGAAACACACCTGCCCCAATTGCAAAAATCCATCTCATCAATTTATTGTATTGACTTTTTTTAAAAAATGTGCAAGTTCAAGCTCTTCTTTGTTTTTTGAAATAAAATTCCATAGATGTACTTAAATATGTTTCCAGAGGTCAGTTTTTGTCATGGTTATTGAAATTCCCAGCTTGTTTGCTGGCTGTGATCCGAAAATGCACCCCAAACAAACCAGGGGATGAGTACAGACTGTTCCATGCTCTTTTTTTTGCTTGCTTGCTTGCTTGTTTAAAGAAAGGAAACTGAAGATCATGTGTGGCTGACACTTGAGGACCTTGTTAATAACTGTGTAGGTAAGGACTCTTAGAAGAAGAGTGGGGAAGCTGTAGCCCTCCAGATGTTCTTGGACCAACATCTTCATCATCCCTAACCACTGACTGTGCAAGCTAAGGCAGATGGGAATTAAGAGTCCAACAACACTTGGAGGGTCATAGGTTTCCCACATCTGCCTGGAAAGGACTATATTGTAGGTCTACTCTTGTACAAAGTGTACAAGGAAAAGTGCACCAGAGGTGGGATTTTGCCCTGCCTTTGGCCAAGCATTTGTCTGCAGATCAAATCTTGCAAACTGTTACAAGGATAGTGATGTTAAACGTTAAATAAAGGGCACACTTATTTTGTATGAATACAACTTGCATCCTTTGCCCATAATAAATTATGCTGATTAAATATACCAAGAAGAATAAGATCCAAATGAAGGGTATGATTACGCATTTGTCTCCTAAGGACATGTCGGTGTTCAACATTGTTTAGACTCATTTCAGTGGCAGAAATTTCAGTGGGAGAAATTTACAGTGAAATCCTATGCTTGTTTTTTATTTGGATTGTAAAGCATGTTATTTTGAGACATTTTAATTTCATACATTTATGAAATGCAAAACTTAGGAACAATACTGTGTGGAACGCGGTCTCTCAGGGACTCCTGGCCAACACAGTCAGCAGTGTCTACCATGGGTATATTTGTTTTGGTGTTGGCTGTTTGATTCATTGTCCATAGGCACTGGAATCACTTATTTTGAGGAATATAGGGATTCCTGGAGTTTTATTCCAAAAAGCTTCTTCCATGATCTGCATATTAATCATCACTCTTTTAGAAAGGCTAGAAGTCAGTGGAAGTGAACATGCGGTGCATATAGAAGGTCTAAGTTTAATGCTGTCATCTCCATCTAAAACTGGAAGAATTCTTGCCAGAGCCCCTGAGAGCCAGTAGAGACAATATTATACTAGTTAGACTAATAGTTTTCCCTGGAATAAGGCAGTATTCAAATGATCAGATCCCACCAACAACCCTCATTTAAGTGCTGTTAAGTCGCCATGACTTATGGTGACCCTATGAATGAGTAACCTCCAGAACATCCTATTAATAGCCCTGCTCATCTCTTGCAAAGTCAAGTCTGTTGCTTCCTTTATGGAGTGAACCCACCTCTTCCTGCTGCCTTCAACTTCTTCTAGCATTACAGATACAGTATTGTCCTCTCCAGTGAGTCTTGTCTTCTCATGATATGTCCAAATCATGAGAGCCTCAGTTTTGACATTTTTGCCTCTAGAGTAGTGGTTCCCGACCTTGGGTTCCCAGATGTTCTTGGACTACAACCCTCAGAAATCCTGGCCAGCACAGCTAGTGGTGAAGGCTTCAGGGGGTTTTAGTCTAAGAACACCTGGGGACCCAAGGTTGGGAACCACTGCTGTAAAGAGGCTTCAGGCTTGATTTGTTCTATGATCCACTTGTTTCTTTCTGGTGGTTCACAAATCTCTCCTCTAGCACCATATTTTGAGTGGATCAGTGTTTTTCCTGTTGCCTTTCTTTGCTGGTCCAAGAAAAATTAAGAATAGAAAAGGCAGCAGCACATTCTGCAATGTTAGTTTATAATTCCTGAAAAAAATTAAGTTTTTTCTCAAGAGTGAAAACTAGGGCTTTTCTTGATTAACTACTGTAAATCACTGGCATCTAGAGTAGTGCCTTGTGCTGTAATGGGGCCTTTTTAAAAAACATGGTTTGGGAAATTTAAATTTTTTGATACATCTCCCAGAATTCCCCAGCTGAAGGATTCTGACAGCTGTATTCCAAAAAGAACCTTCTGCCAGCTCTGGTCTGGATCTGCAGCTTGCTCATGGCTGTTCAGAGATCCCAGGTTTTTTTAGATGTAAAGTTCTCAGAAGTGGTTTACTAGTCCCTCCCTCTTGTAGTTATCTGATACCATACAGCTTGCCCAAGTTTACACAGGTGAGAGGGTGCACATTTCCATTCAAATGACATTCTTTGAGTGATCTCAGATGGCACAGTGGGAATGCAAATTCTTGTCCCCTGGCTCCGCAACAGGGGCTCCGACCCACTCAGCTATACCAGCTCTAGTAAATGGCTAAAGAGGAGTAATTCAGTCAAAGTGATATTGTTCCTGCCCTGGAGAAAGCCACTGCTTTCAACACTGCTGACTTCAACTCAGTGACAAAGGTTTTCCCTGTTCTGATGCTCTGTGAAGAGTCTGGAGTACACAACCTCATCTCCAGCCTATGTGGCCTGTCCAGAGGACACCAGCTTGGAGAAGGCTGGCCTGCATCTCTACTTATAGTTAAGCTTTAATGTTCGTAATGTAACAGGATGGCCAGGTTTTCACAGTAGCCAGTACAGTGGGGTCTTGACTTAAGAACGGCTTGAGTTAAGAACATTTTGACTTAAGAACCACTCTCATAGGACTTGACTTACATACTTAGATTTGAGTTAACTGCAGCACTACTTATAGTTAAGCTTTAATGTTCGTAACATAACAGGATGGCCAGGTTTTCATAGTAGCCAGGAGTGCATTTGCAGAATTAAAACTAGTGCATTAGCTATGTCCAAGCCACAAGTCAAGTCCTGGTGTAGATGTGCTTTAAAGAGATGTGTTTAGCAAGGGACAGGATGGAACCATACCTACACTTATGAAGCTCACTGTCAGAGCCTGATAGAGTTTAGGGTTATTGCAGCTGTAATTCAGAGCCACAGGGCAAGCATTTTGTGGCCTTCCAAATGTTGTAAAACATTTGAGGCCTTCCAAATGTTGTAAGACTCCAGCTCCCATAAGCCCCAGTTGGCATGGCCAACAGTCTGGGATGATGACACTTGTTGTACCTTAATATATGGGGCACCACAGATTCCCCAGGTCTGCTTAGAAAAAAAATAATGCTTTCCTTTCTCTTTCACTCAAGTCAATTCTGCTTGAAAATGACTTTCAATCCCCTGCAACAGAGAACATTAACCTCGTGTTTTGTGAGGACATATGCAAAAAAACCTGTCAGAATGTTTTTCATAATAAGTTTGGTTCAGTTGTGTCAAGCAATGGATTTGAATAGAAAATGCATAGTCTCTGTTTCTTTAAATATCATTTTCATTTGTCCTGTTATTTCTTCATTACTGCCAAGCACCCCTTTCAGTTAAAGGTTCTAGAGAGTTTGGAACATTCACCCTCTTTTGTGGGAACACTGCTTTATTGATGTCTCTCCCCTCCCCCGTTCTACTTTTACAGGAGTGTAGGGCAATATATTATATGGCAGGCTGAGCAATAGTGAGCAGGCTAAAGTCATCCACTGAGTTTCGTGGCTCAGGAGGCATTTGAACCTGGACTGCTTAGATCATCCTCCAGTTATGTTACATTGAAAGCTTGTGCAATGCAGTGACTACACAGTGTTAGGAACCCAGCATCAGATGTCCTCAGTTATGACACTCATTGCAATTTGAGTGATGGCAGGGCATTTTTTTATTTTGTTATTTTTTTGGAGGTTTTGCAACCTCAACTGTTTCTAGATGTATGACACCTGATTATGTCAAATAGTTGAGCAAAGCAAAGCGTGCTGCTTATATACTGCCCTATAGCACTTCAAACACTCTCTGGGCGGTTTACAAGTTAATTATGCAGGCTACACATTGCCCCTCCCCAGCAAGCTGGGTACTCGTTTTACCGACCTCGGAAGGATAGAAGGCTGAGTCAACCTTGAGCTGGCTACCTGGGATTGAACCCCAGGTCGTGAGCACAGTTTTGGCTGCAGTACAGCGGTTTAACCACTGCGCCAGAAGGCTCTTCAGATCTCTTAGCCTTCCTTATCAACTGTAATACTGTACAAAGTTGATCATGTCCTAGTGATCCCCAAGGAGCTGAGAATCTCCTGGCTCTCAGCCTTCCTTATCAACTGTAATACAAAGTTGATCATAAAGTCCTGGTGATCCCCAAGGAGCTGAGAATCTCCTGGGTCTCATGGCTGGCAAGGTCTCTGTAGTCTAGAAGAATAAATAAAAATACTTCCAGTGATGATGTATTGGAAGGAGAGACCATTTCCAGAGTTTGCATTTTGACACATGCTGTCAGGTGCAAACTCTTACAGATGAAGGGCTACACAGTTGCTGTGTTGCAGACAAGGCATGAAAATTGAAGAGGGAAGATCCCAGGTTCCACCTCCCTCACCTTTAGCTAGGGCTATAATGATCTTGAAGCTGAGGCTCCAATACTTTGGCCATCTGATGAGAAGAGAAGACTCCCTGGAAAAGACCCTGATGTTGGGAAAGTGTGAGGGTAAGAGGACAAGGGGACGACAGAGGACGAGATGGTTGGACAGCGTAATCGAAGCGACCAACATGACTTTGACCCACCTCCGGGAGGCAGTGGAAGACAGGAGGGCCTGGCGTGCTTTGGTCCGTGGGGTCACAAAGAGTCAGACACGACTAAACAACAACAACAACATACAGGGTTCTGGAAAACTCTTCATTGTACAAATCAGTGGGAAGTCAA